CGAGCGCTGAAGCCAGAGCCAGCGAACTCTCAAGGCAAAACCAGCCACCCGGAGATCTGGAATGCCCAGTCCACCGAGATCCCTAGGACGACAAACCCTCGTCCAGGACACCCGGCACTGTCCCCCATTGGCCGAGTCCGTACCTGTCCACAAGAAGGCGCGACGCTTCTTGAGGGGGAAGGCATTCAACCACGAAAATGGAAAGAGGGGGAAGGCAAAGGTCTCTGCATCACAAAGAGGTACACGTTATTGAGAATTTCAGAACATTGCAAAATGAAACCCAAGTAATTTGTCGCTGAAATTGCATTTGTGCAAAGTGCAATTGTGTTTGCAGATTTAAAGAGTTGCTTTAAACAGGGTCTCTAGTAGCTTGGCAGGGTCCGACACGGCGTCGATGGCGACCACGACCCGGAGTTCATCGGTGCCCAGCCAAAGAGCCGCACAACAAGCAGCTGACGACCCTGGAGGTTCTGAGCGTTTGAAGGGCTGCTAGCTGATCTGGATGCCGCTCTCCACCCGGCACTTGTTGTTGCATCTGCACCCCTAAGAACTGAGGTGGGTAATCTCGATCTGCTTGTTTGTTAGTCCAATGTTTCCCATCTGATGTAGTTTCTGTTCTTGATTAACCGATGCAGGCAATGGGGGATCGACGTGCTTACTCTGGTTGAGCCACGCATCCCTTAATTGTGATGAAAGGACATGTTTATCTGAAGCATCTGCATCTTGCGATTTATGGTCTATGTTTTTTGTAATGATTTTTTTTTTGTTGAAACACCGTCCTCTCCTTATGTTATGTGATTTTCAGACTTGAGAGTATATCGTTATTTACAGATGTATCATGATTCATGATCTGAGAATTTATTTTTTTAGATGGATATATTTGTTTTTGCTTAAATGCTCACCCTCTAGTTTTAACCCTTCTAGAACTGTGACATCTGCCCATCTGTAATATAGTGCGGCTGAATGATTCATTCGGCTCAGTTGAACTAGAAAATCTAGAAAATGAACCTTGCAGCTGAATGATTTATTCTGATCATCTTGACCAAACAGATTTATTTCTAGATTTAGTATTTGCTTTCTCATTCCGCTGAGTTGCACAATGTTCAATTGTAGGCTGGGAGTAAGGCGAGCCCAAGAACATTGTAGTCCGGATTTAATTTTTGCTTTCTCATTTTCAGGCACAGCAGAGTACATTATGCTCATGGGAATACAGCCGAGTACATTCTCAAATTTGGTTGCTGGCCAGTGCCATGGAGGAGCAGCATCGGCCACCTCCATGACACGCCGCTGTCAATGTCCAGCTAGCGCCAGGCATTTCCGCTACCAACCACCGGCCTGCCTCTAGATCTATGTTATGATTGTATTCATGCCGTGTAGGCTTATTGTAAAAGAGTTACTATTCTCATATTTCTCATAGCAAAAATATTTACCATGTGCTAATAAGTGTCCGTGAAAAATACTTGTGTCTATTTAACTAGATAGTATAATCATTACTCAACAATAACGAACTAATCTAACAATATGTTTGCGAGTAATTGATTTACTGACAGAGGCTCCAATGTGAATAAAAACCAATAAATTATTTACGAAAATAATATTGGACGCGAATATAATATGCTAGTAATTCTTTTACTTATGGTTCCACATTGGAAGGAAAACAACATGAATCAATCGGGTGTGCGGGAGTGTCAGTAACTCACTAGTTTTAACCACCGGCCGGTCTCTAGATCTATGTTATATTTTCTCGACGACCTAATTAATGTTGCGCTGAAAAATTAATCATCACGAGCTAATAATTTTTTATTTATGAAGAGGAAAAAAAGATAGAGAAATTTACCATATGAAATTTACCTTAGACGAGGGACACGAGCCGATGAGCGTGGTGAGCCGCGACCGAGAGCAGCAGGCGCCTGGCGCCAATCGGCCGATGAGGGGGCGCCGCCGCCGGGCGGTTGGCCTCGACGACGACGCAGTCACGCAGAGGCTTGCGAAGTTGCGACGTCACGCCGTCACGCGAGACGCCGAGAGCGGAGAGCTCGACTGCTCGAGACAGCAACGCTGCAGCGAGCGGCCAGCGGTGTGATCGTCCGATCGAGGGGCGTCAGCGACGCGAGTCGGCGAGTGGCGTGATCGAGGCGACGCCGCGACGGGAGGAGTCAGATCGTTAAATCGCTTCGCTGGACTGCTTGTGCGTGGCATCCGCTGAAGTCTGGACAGGCCTCAGGCCTGGCGATCAGGCGATGGATGGTAGATGGATGCCCCATGGGCCATGGCCCATCAGCCATGGGGGCCCCTATAAGGCCTCCTTTAATGGTTGAGCTAGTGCACCTCATACAAAAGATAGCAAAAAAGTCTACCTCTCCAATAGATTGTCTCATAGCACATTGTTTAAAATGCTTTGGGTCCACAATTCCTCTCACATTTTCTTTAGGAGCTTAGCTCTTGAAGAAGAGATAGTGCATTCTCTCTCCTTATCTTCTCTCTCTTCCACATCATATAAAAGCTGATGTGGAGATTTATGAACTAGCTGACTTACCCTTGTTGGAGGAGGCCTAATTTGGGGACCTCAGGCGGCCGCACGCACTAACCCCCCAGGGCCAGCCCTGCTCCCGTATGCTCGGAGCAAGCGGGACGTGGCATGTGTATTTTTTTTTCAAAAATAGATATAATTCCATATAATATTGGGTCCACTATATAAGTTTAAATCTAATATAACTGAAAATCTAAAATAGTGGGTCCACCGGTTTATTAGATTACCACGTCGCGGTTTAGGAGCGTTTATAGGAATCCTATGTGGTGGCATGAGAGCGTTTGTAGGAAGTTTAAAATGGACTTTTAGTATATAATAGATAGATTCTAGGGGTGAAAACGGATCGGATAATATCCGATCCGATCCACTCCGAATCCGTCCGAAACAAGGATATGGTATGGGCTTTTAGAAAATACGGTGGATACGGATGCGGATGCGGATAGTATGAGGCGGATATGGTATATCTAAAATCCGACGGATGTAGATTATCTGACATTTTTGTCGGATTTTCCGATAAGCCGTTGGTCGAATAATCGGAAATTACCAACATATATAACCATTCTATCGATTGCTTATAACATAAGTTGATACATCCAATGCCCTAATTCATCAATTAACATATAGTCTAAGGCTTTTATTATCTCATGTCACACCCACATAGCTATATTTTTTATATTATGGACATCATGTATTCATGTTGTTTAGCACTTAATCATATAATTATTATGATGGGTCATTTATTGATTATTGTTCCTTGGATTGCTAACTCGATGTTGCATTGATTGCATATATACATAACATCTAATAAATTTAATCCATTTCCGTGCCGATTCCGCACCGACTCCGCACTATTTCCAATATCCGGAACAATCCGCTCCACATCCGCATCTGTACACTATCCGCACCCGCTCCGAATCCGCTTAAAAAATATGGTTTAGGATATGGTATGACCACTATCCGTCTAAATCCGCTCTGTTGTTACCCCTAGTAGATTCCAACAGTAGTACTAATCAATTATTTGGTAGAGCTAGAGCCGCATGAGGACAATAAGCCATTGTCTTCCTTGAGGCCGCAACAGGATCTCTTGCTTGGGAAAAGCTTCCATGTTTTCAGCGGCCGACAAGACGACGGGAATGTCATGTCAGTAGCTATCGACGTGGACGCAAGGCAGTGTTGTGATAGCCCACCATTGGCCAGTTAGGCCTCCCACAGTGCAAGCTATGGGGTCCATACCCCTAGCCCAAAAAGTTGGCCTAAGGCCACCCACCCCACAGTGCAAGTACCCATATATGTGTCCAAAAATCGGATGGAGGCACTGGTATAGGGTACCAAGCCCACAGTGGACGTGACTTTGCTTGCGCGAGGTCACGGGCCGGCCCCAAAAATTATTCCCCACCTACCCTTCTGGATGACGACAAATCGCTGATCCTATCCATTCGCCCATTCCTCTCATCTCTCCGCCTCGACCGCATGTCGCTGCGCCTCCTTCCCTCCTCTCGCCGCCGCCTCAACTCACTCCGCCGCACACGCCGTCGCCTATTCCATCCCCTCTTTGAAAGTTGTCCTTTGAGCCCGCCTCTCGCCGCGCTTCCCTCCCGTCGGTCGTCGTCGCGTCCTTCCACTCGACCGCTCCACCGATCCGCCCGAAACCATGGACGACTACCCCAAGTTCATGCAGATCGAGCTCCGTAGTGGCCTTGTGCTGCTCCTCCTGACCTATACCCCGTCCAGAGTGGCTAGGGATGGCGGGAAGAAGAAGAGGGGAAAGGCGGCAGGGGCAGGTACCTCGCGCCCGCGATCTGCGCCGGCGCCGGTGAAGGCGGAGAGCGTCGGCTCGTCGATCTATCCCGGGGTCAACGCTGTGGAGGGGGCGGCAGATGCGGCGCAGGGGGGATTAGGGTTCCCGGAGGTACCGCCAGGTTTTGAGAAGGTGAAAGCGACGCCGGCTCCAGCTACACCCGCACCAGTGGCTTCTCCATCTACTGCATCAGCCAAGAAGGTTTGGATCTCACTCGAATCACATTTAAAATTTGTTTGTCATTTGAGCTGTGGGAGGATTTTGTTGTAATTTGAGATGTGGCATGAATTTGCTGTCATTTGAGATGTGGCATCAATTTACTGTCATTTGAAATATTGGAATGGAGGGCATATTTCCTTTGATAACAATTTATGGACAGATTGGATGTGCCCTATTTGCTCAAATTAAATAAGTGAAATGCCCCTCTCTATCCATAGAACAATTGAAAAGCGAGCATGGAGATGAATTTTGTTATTAATGCGTGTGAACTTGTGGATGAACTGCTAGTTGGATATTAACATTATTATAGTTTCTCTATGTGCAGCAAGTTCTCAACAGTCTACAAATCACTGCCTGAAATCCACACTTAAGTACATCTAGCAAATATCCTTTCTATAGAGTAAACAATGGCTGCAATCCAGAAATCATCAAGTGTTGGGGCTATATCAAAACTGAAAAACAATACCCTTCATAGTGCACATCCCAAATTCACTATTGAGAAAGCTTAATTATTCCACATCCCTAGCAACATCCCACTTCTCTGTATGCAGCAATCATCAATAATTTTACTCATCACTACCATCGATTGAAACCTAAAATCCACAATACTTGTTGGCATCACCGCACTACCAAAGTTTTAGACAAAACTATAATCAATTATAGTTGGCATCGATTAATCATACACAATTGTATCGTCAACTAAAACCTGAAAGTACAATTTCTTACCAGCCTGATATCTTCTTCGTGACTGTATAACATCTTGCCGGTCTTGCCACCCGACTCATCTTCAGGTCCAGGGGCAGGGGAAGGAGCAAGGGTTGTTGTCACACGGTGCCGGCGTCCTGCTCTCGAGCTCGAGGATGGCTTGCACGTCGCTGCAGAGCCAGCCGCCAGTCCCAAACTTGGAGTTGCCTTCTTGCCCGTTGAACCCGGTGTGTCCGTCGTTGCACTGACTGCCGGCGGAGCCGAAGATGAAGACGGCAGTGGCTGGGTGCAGAACGGAGGGAATGGTAGAGGGGGGTACGGGAACGCCGGAAGAGGAGGCAATGACGCCGGCTGGCTCAGCGACTGAGAAAGCGCCGCGGTGGCGGCTGGATCTTGAAGAAAACGTGCGAAAGCGTCTGCCAGCCTCGGATCCATCTGCACATAGGTTTGCAATTTGATGTATAGATCGAATCAGATACCCAATCAAATTAGAATCGGTGAATCAGGGGAAAAAGCACGCGCTAGGGTTTGCTCACCTCGCTCCACCGACGGATACCTCGACCGGCCGCTTCTCCGGAGGGGATAGCGACAGGGGAAAAGCAGCCGGCGACGGGGAGGCCGCCCTGGATTGGGGCTTCAGGGCGGCGATGGCGAGGCGGGAGTGGAGCCGACGACGGAATGGAGGAAAAATACGAGCGCGCGAAAGAGAAGGCAGTGGCGCGGGAGACGGAAATACTAGGGTTGAAGCGCGATTTTGGAAGGGCGAAATCGGAAATCCTGCTCGCATCCGCCCTCGAGCGCACGCGGAAACGAGGGCACGCGCTCGCCTCGCGCCTCGGTTTCTCGCCTCGCGAGAGAAGGATGCGCGCGGCTCAGTATGGGGGCGAGGAGCTCACCACGGACGCGCGCCCTCCCTCCACGCGAGACCGACTCCTACGTGGCGCCCCATAGCACCGTGCCAGCTGTGTGCACTGTGAGAGGCCTTAGCTCGCCGCAACATGTGAGGCGTCGTGATGTACTCGCTCCGTCCCATAATATAAGAGATTTTAAATTTTTGCTTGCACTGTTTGGCCACTCGTCTTATTTAAAAAAATTTATGCAAATATAAAAAATAAAAAATTATGCTTAAAGTACTTTGGATAATAAAGTAAGTCAAAAAAAATAATAATTCCAAAAAATTTTGAATAAGATGAGTGGTTAAACCGTACAAACAAAAACTAAAAATCTCTTATATTATGTGACGGAGGGAGTAGCTTATTAGGTAGAAGACCCTACCTAGCTAGGTCGTAGTAGCTAAGTTGAGTGATGATCTGGCCGTCCTCGATCGCTTTGGGGATTATTCGATTTCTTGTATAAAACGAGATGTGGGTCAGCAGTTGTTTTCCTTTTCCTGTTTCATTTAGGGGCCTGTTTGGATTGCTACCAAAAATATGCCCTATAAATATTTTGGAAATTTGAATAATAGCACTTGCATTTGATTGATTTGAAACCAATTCATTGGTATTACCTAATCTAGATTTGGTATCAATCTAGAACATTCTTCACTACAATTTTACATTTTGCCTCTGTATTGGTAGTAAATCAAACGTGATCAAATACAATCTTACATTCCAAATATTTAGTAGTGCTAAAACTTTCCTAGATTTCAGCACTACAAAAAATTTTGGAAGGGTACCAATCCAAATAGGCCCCAGATCTTAGGGGTATTTTGGTCAGATCACCATACAAAATAGGGTAAAAACCATATAATTGATTAAAGAGAGAGAAAATGGCATTTTAACGTATATTCACGGTTTGAGAATGATATTTTAACAAAGTCGAATTCCAAAGTGAAACCCCGTCATGACAGTGGTAAAATGTCAATTTTCTCGCGTCCGTCCTATCTCTCGTGTTTTATCGGACATCCGATTGCCTCTTCAGTCCAGCGCCGTAGAAGTAGAAAGGTCGTCCCGCGGCACGTCAACGTTCAAACCAGCTCGTCACGCTGTTATTCTCTCTTCGATTTGTTTATCAATTTGGCCCAGCTGGAGACGGATCCAAACCCAACCCAACGCAACAACGCGCGCAGGCTTTTTCGGCTAAAAACTAGCGCTATTGCGGCCACATGTCTAAATATTCCCATTTGACCACCCCACCCACGCCGCTACGCGCCTTCCCCTCTTTCCTATATAAATCCCCGCCCCAAGAGCTACCCCGCCTCGTCTCATCTCATCTCATTCACACCACACCAACATTCGCTAGCTCACTCACTCTACCTCGCTAGCGATCTACTCGATCCAGTGGTTAATTTGAAATGGACGCGCCGTGTGGATGGACGACGTCGGCGGCGGCGGCGGTGGCGGAGGAGGAGGATGTTCGGAGAGGGCCGTGGACGGTGGAGGAGGACGCGGTGCTGGCCGGGTACGTGGCGGCGAACGGCGAGGGGCGGTGGAACGAGCTGGCGCGGGCGGCGGGGCTGAGGCGCACGGGGAAGAGCTGCCGCCTCCGGTGGCTCAACTACCTCCGCCCCGACGTGCGCCGCGGCGACTTCACCCCGCAGGAGCAGCTGCTCATCCTCGAGCTCCACTTCCGGTGGGGGAACCGCTGGTCCAGGATCGCGCAGCACATGCCGGGGAGGACGGACAACGAGATCAAGAACTACTGGCGGACCAGGGTGCAGAAGCACGCCAAGCAGCTCGGCTGCGACGTCAATAGCCGCCAGTTCAAGGACGTCATGAGGCACCTCTGGATGCCGCGCCTCGTCGAGAGGATCCACGCCGCCGCCGCCTCGTCGGAACGCGCCGCGCCGCCGCCGTGTGCCGCCGCGCCGGCTAGTCACAGCGGCATGTGCCACTCACCTGACCCGTCAACCACGACGTCGAGCATGGCAGGGTCGTCGGTGACGCACGGCGAGCAGTTCCCGTCGTCGACGAACCACCACCTGATGACCATGGCCAGCGTCACCACCGCAGCGGCAGATTGGTCCAGCGAGCAATGCGGCAGCGGCAGCGCCACCAGCACGAGCGTTGGGATCAGTTATGACATGTTCGAGGGGAGCTGGTCGGAGCTCCTCGCCCGCGCCTACGACGACGACGGCGCCGATTCTTCGCTGCTGCCGGACTTCCAAATGGCAGACACCGGAGACAACTGCTGGTGGAGTAATTTGGAGGACATCTGGTCACAGCAGCCGTACTGATAATTTCTGTATACTACGTACGCTAGCTAGATAGCTCTTAATTATGAATGACCAACTTAATTTATTTGTAATTATATTGTTACTGATTGATTAATTGCTAATGAGAAAATTATTTAATGAAGCAGAGGATTAATTTGTATTTGTGTATGCTCTGATTCTTACGTTATAACTTACGAGAAAAAAAACGACTATATCTCAATTGGTCATGCTCAGAGGGAAAAAAAATCTATTGGAAGATAACCGTTATTTACTCAAGCACAAAAGGTTGAAAAGGTAATTGTAAAGGAGCGAAAAAAAATCGGCCTCTTGGCGGCTAAAGATGTCGTTGTATACTAGTAGTACATTATAGCGTTCTCTTGTTTCTAGAATGGTATACTGGTAGAGTAGAGTGGTAGTCAAAATTCTACTACAAACGTTGATGGATTGGTGTGACTGGTTTAGTACTTTAGTCACTCGTGCATGCAGTCGCCAGTTATCATACGTTCTCTGTTCGATGGATATGGTCGTCTTCTAGAGAGGCAATAGTTTCCTAGGTTCAAAGCTCAAAACATGCACCATGACATTGATATGCACAACACAATGATTTCGATCAACCGATGGCCTTCATTATAAGTTAATTTAGAGAGTGAAACTTAATGCGCCAACAAAGCTAAAACAGGTATATTATCATCGGTTCACCGTACGCATGTGTCGTGTTTAAATTTTAATAGTGTATAAGTGCCCAAGCTGTTATAGCGCACTGTATGCCTTTAGCTTTGTTGAGTGAAAGATACTGTAGCAGTGTAGCTCGATCGGCCCTGATCATCAGCCTGTTTTACGGAGGGAGAATTTGCTCAATAGTTCAACCATGCATATTTAATTTACTTTCGATACTCCCTTCGTTTACTTTGACATGACACTACTGTCAACTATATACATCCAAACTTTGACCACAACTATATGGTTCAGTACTTATATAACGAGCGGACTATGTTTAACATGCAAATTTTTTACTCCCCTCTTTTCATATTATATGATGCTTTTATTTTTAAAATAAAATTTTTTTAAGTTTGATTAAGTTATAGAAAAACATACCAATAGTTTCAATACAAAACTTTCAAAATATATATATTTAAAGATTTAATAAAACTAATTTCATGTAAGGAGCTATATTTTCTATAAACTTGGATTAAATTTAAAGGACTTGGCTATATTTTTAATAATCTTTTATTTTTCTATAGACTGGTTAAACTTGAAAGAATTTAGATTTAGAAAAAAATTAAAACGAGCTCTAATATAAAATGGAGGGAGTATTAAATAATCTAGTCATGGTTTATACAGTACAGTCAACAGTTGTCAATCGAAAGTAAACGTAGGGATATTCTATTCTAACTTAGTGTAACACTCCATTAGGTGGACTAGCCCAATTTGACTATATGATCTCAACAGCGATCGGGTTGAATAATTCAATAATGCAGACGATAGCACGAGGAATAAGAGTAAGCTGTATAGAATGTTAGAGATAGAGAGGTGAGAGGAGCTAGAGTAGGTGGGCCTGTTTGGTACAGCTCTAACTCCTAAATTTAGCTCCAAGAGTTGGGTCTGGAGTGGAGTTGTGGAGCTGCCTAAACCCAGCTCCACAACTCTAGTTCATTTTGTGAGAGAGCTCCACCCAGCTCCACTCCCAGTTTTGGTGGAGCTGAAACTGTTTGGCTGAGCTCCAGCTCCAGGAGGGGTAGAGCTGGAGCTGGAGCTGTGCCAAACAGGCCCATAATAGCACATATACGTCAAGCTGTATGCAGACTTAGAACATGTAGAATGATCATTAATAAGTGCTCTTAGCCTTGATCAGCCATACATCAAGCACCTTGTGAGTGATAGAAAATACACAGTATAGTACATGTATATAGAAACCATGGTTCGATCGACCGGGTCAACGGTTCAGACACTTAGACCGGTGGACCGATGAACTCAGAGATTGGCCGGACTTTTTATACTATGTTCTTATGTCTATGTAGAATAGAAACTTCGCTACATGAAGCTGGCAAAAAGAACAGATCAAATAGCAACAAAAATTATTTTTTGGATTAATGCATGGTTAGAGTTTTTGTTGTCTTAACTGTTATAAGGACATCAGACATAATATCTAAATAAACATGTATTATTTAAGAGTCGGGCTCTATCTTTCAACATGCCCTAATACTCTTGGAGATATATATACAACTTCCTCCAGTTATAAATATTTAATATTTAGAACAAGATTCAGTCAAACCTTTTAAGCATTGACAATCGATTCTATGCTAAAATAAGTATATAGAATCTAATAAAATTTATGTTATTATAGCACCTTTTTAATGAAAATCTACACATTCCATATTTTTTTTCTTTTCAACTAAGCATTTGAAAAATTATTTATGTCAAAGTTTTAGAAGTTTTACCAGATTTTATCTTTAACGTTAAATATGTATAACCGCAGGAAGCGGTATATATCTTGAGGAGTATTATGCATGGTTTGTTCAGAGTTACAACCAGAGGAAGTATATATTTCATCATGAGATTCATGCCTAGAGATGAAACAAAAGCAGTTGTACTAAACATAAAATTCATGTGGCGAAAAGAAACTGTAGCGCGAAATATGACCAACCGAAAGTAATTGCATTGGAGCTGAACGAAATATCCGAAAAGTACAATAATTAATACTTTATCCGTTTCATGTTATAAGACGTTTTGACTTTGGTCAAAGTCAAACTGTTTCAAGTTAAACCAAGTTTATAGATAAATATAGTAATATTTATAATATTAAATTAGTTTCATCAAATCGATAGTTACTACTTTTTTTTATAAACTTGGTTAAACTTAAAATAATTTGACTTTGACCAAAGTTAAAACGTCTTATAACCTGAAACGGAGGGAGTAATAAACAATAATTATGTCAAACAAACAAAAAAGGATGCTTTTGTATTTGCATGCAAGCTATGTATAGGACCCGAGCAAAACCTTATCTTTCCGAACACAGCAAAACCACTGTCCACTGCAGAAGTTGCTTAAATTAAAGACTTAATTTTGATCACCCTTATAATAACCATTACATTCACGGTAGAATAATTCACGCAGACTTTGGTCCGATTACCCCCAAAAGAATAATACCAATATACCATTCTAAAAAAACAAATCATTTCTATTAGGAAAAAAACATGGTTTTTCTAGCTGGGGGCTTTCATCAAATTTAGGAGGCAACAATAGCAAATAATAATACTACTCGAAAGAAAATAATAATAACAATAATACTACTCCTCGGCAGCTAGATGAGATGCCAGTGTCCAGCTCTTGGAGAAGTAGTGGACGGACACTTGTCCATGGTGGGAGGTCAAATCGTCAAAGGTGCCCAGAGCATCCGGCCGGTCTTTGGTCGTCTAGCTCGATCGGGGTCAAACGCTGGTCTCCAATCCGTCAGCGCGTCGCGGTCGACGCCAAGACCAAGCTGACGTAGCGTAAGATGGCTGCCGCACCACGCTCGCCCCTCGTGCGCGATACCCATCGCCGTCGCTCCGCGGATGCCGTGGTTTTTAATTTCCTTGTTAATCTAATCACTTATCCACTACTCCTCCTATGTCTTTATAGACGCGCATGACGAGGGGAAGGCGAGATCGATCCTGACCGCGATCCCCCGATCGGACGGCACCCACCTGGCGCTTGCTATAGCCGCCGGGCCCGGGCGGGGGCGACGTCACCGGTGATTCTGAACTGCACTGAGAGACCTCCACTCTAGCGAACTGAACGACGACAAGTCCTACAACATGTGCTGCTAAGCTAATGCCCACAGTCTAATCCTAGCTATGTAGGGTCTCCTGCCTAATAAGCTATACGGATTGTTGAGGAGGTATTGGTCTCGATCGAATCGCACTGTTGATGCATGTGCGGCCTGATACATTTGATCACGTGCTTAATAATGCTCTTGTACATTCAACGGAAGCTTTCTATGTGATACATACGTATATCTAGTTTATACAATCAAATACTATATGTTGTACAGTGCGTGCCTCACGGTTGAAGCTAAAGGAAAGTAGGCTCCTATGGGCACAACCGCACAACTCTAAGTCTATTGTCTTGTTTAGCTGAAGGGATAGGAAAATAATTTTCCACCCACCAAAAAACATCAATAAATCATAACAATTCATTCTCCTTCCATTTAATCATAACCTTTCATTCATTTTCAATCCCAATCCCACCTCCTATTTTCAATTATCCAAACACCTAACAGTAAGTGTAATAGTTTTTTAGAGAGACAATAAAGAACAAATCAAATAGTAATATGCTTCTAGTGGCGATCCTAGTAGGGGAGCAAGGTGGGCCTGGCAACCCCTACTGCCCATCAATGCACTAATTATAGTACTCCTAGGTTTTTTTACAATCTAATTGCTAAAATGCTTGCTACATATAGAAGCAAAAGAGGAAAAAAAATGAAGGACAATTAGTGGTTTTTTTCTAGGTTATTTACAGATAGCTACGTACATGTTTGTCTTTTACTAGTTAGGTGTCCGTGCATTGCAACGGAAAAAAATAATACGTTAATTTCAAATCACACTGGCTTATTTAAATCATATTTCACTGTTTTACAAATACTAATAGTAAGCCACCCCCAATATAAAGAGACCGTATAAAATATATCCAGATCGTACGAGTTTAGGTAAAAAGGAAGCAGATAAGTGCAATATTCATTTCTCATGGGTGATTTACGTACCCAAAAAAAAAAGATAGCATGGAGGACCATGGCATATGCAGAATAGAGCAGAGAAAAGGTTGTATCTTTATTCAGTTGTACATGCATCATCTCACAATCTTGAGTTAAATTTGCTCTGTGCTTGAATAGATGACTGGCAATGGCACAGTAAGATTGTGCCCGATCAATCTGCTTGGATAGTTCTACATCTGCATTTGCTAAAATCTGATTCTACATCTGCATTTGCTAAATCTGATTCTACTTCCGCTTCAGACTAACAGGTCATGAATATTTCCCTAATATAGTTTCTTTGTCTGATCAAGTTCAAGAAAATCACTTGACATTTCATTTAATTAACAGCTCATCGAGAACAGCCTGAAGACACGTCAAAAATCCCCAACTGCATGTTGTGCACCAAAGTCAGGTGTGAACATAAGTTTGAAGCCAAAACAAAATGGATACAATTCAGGTTTCAGTTGAGCACCTGCGCTGCGATCAACACATCCTACCTCTGCACCATTGCCGATGCGACGTCCTTCCCTGAGCACTCTGCGCAGAGCATGCCGTCGTCGCTCGCGCCCTCTCCCCTGAGCACTCTGCGCAGAGCATGCCATCGTCGCCCGTGCCCTTCTCTGCAGAGTGGGGAGGGCAGAGCGGGTGGAGGGAATCGGCGCCCCTCCTATTCTTTTATTCCTGCATCAAGTGAAACACATTTATCGTCTTGATAAGTAGAAATGAGCAGGATTTTACAATAGGTCAATATCTGAAATAGCATTATATGTCTTTCTTGGTAATGGCATGTAGAAGATAGGCTCGTCAATAATTTTGAATTTGTATTTTCTGTACTATTATTATCTAAAAAAATTCTTTACTATTGGTCATCAACACATAAAGCAAAAACTTAAAGTCTGAAGGCTGAAGCTGCGTGATATAAATATACTTATAACGAATATTACCATGATCTGATAATTGTTGAGACATGACTCATGAGAATTCTCCTTTTCTTTCTCTGCAACTCAGAAATAGAGTAATTTATATATTTCGAATATATGCAGCCCATTGGATGTGTTAAGCTGTAGAACCTTAGATCTGCAATTTCCATTTGCATTTGGAAGGTGTAACATCCAGAGATGGTCTATTTTACAAGGAAAACACAATTGTAGTGCAAGAAAGAGTCAAAATCCACAGTGCCCAACTATACATGTTCAAGTTTACAGGAGAATCTAGTTTTCCCAAATCGATCTTAAACCTAATAACAAACTGCAGCCATGTCATATCGGACCAACATTAGCGAGCTTAATACCATAAATTAACTAATTTCTTTCAGTGGCGGCATAGAATTTGACATTTTTATTGGCCTCTAGTGAGTCTATGCGTAAGCCGCCATAGTTCTTGGCCAAAAATTAGTTATATGCAGCCAGTACATAGTGACCAAAAACACATAATCCATTGTGCATAATAGTACCACAACCTGCTACATATATATATATATATATATATATATATATATAAAACAAATCCTATATATATATTATTAATACATGTTTGGTAGGATCGAAAGCAATCAAAAAAATGTAGAATTCAGATAATGGGCGTGGAGTTGCGTGGGTTCAGAGATGGGCGTGGAGGTGGACCAGCGATCGACGATGTATCTACAATATATGAAATACTCTATTTGTATCAACAATAAATATGTGCACTAATTCATGAAAAATATTTTAAATATGTTTTGACATATTATTGCATTGTTTAATCACCAAAGACTTCCAGAGATTAAAGGTACTTGAAATCAACAGATCAGGAGCCAGGTTGGTGGATTCCTCATTCACCTCAAGCTTTGATGTCAATATTTTTTTTCGAAGATCTGATCTTTCCCGCAATATACTCATGTGAGAATCTCGATTGAAGAATCGAACACACGCCCAACGATTTTGCAATTTCCTCCCTATATTTCTATTTGCATTTGGGATTTGTGGAGAAGAGGGACCAAAAACTGACCTGTATCTGTGGTCGGCGTAGTAGGGGAGGTTGGAGAGCAGCATCTCATTGACATCGAACATCCGCATGCTGCGCCGTCACTCGTAGCCCGTGCTAGGCGGTCGCCTCCCGTGCAACGACCTCAACGTTGGAACAGTAGGCCAGGTCGGTGAGGAACTCCCGCATGTAGCCGGCGCACTCCTCAGACACGGACTTCCACGTCGCTGGGTTGTTTTCCTCCCCCTGTGTAACGGATTAATTTTCATATCCTAGCGGTAAAAATATTCAAAAGTTTTCGATAAATGATATAAAATTTTTCTCACTTTAGATTTTGCCTGCGTTTGTTCAAGCTCCTTTGCATGGATCTTCTCTTCAGATTTTTGGTAGAACTGAAAACAAGACAGCACTAAACCTGGTCAGCATAAGGGGGAAAAATGTAAATGAACATATGGATTAGCGCAATGCATTTTTGGGTATAATATACCTTCTTCCTCTTCTCAGCACGCTCCTGCAACCTGAAACTAAAACCAGTGGCAGTAGCATTCTAGTGTTGAGCCACTTCTCAGGGAGTATTAGTACTCCTGCAAGTATAAATGAGCATGTTTAATTTCTTATTAACAATAACACAGGAGATAAAAAGGAGCAACTATGAAGAAAATAAGAATGCTTTACGATGTGGTGGAGTGCACATCATCCTCCATTCTCTGGCAGAATCTGTTGCAAAGCATTCGTGGTGTTCTCGTTTGACCTGATATGAAAGATCAACCATTTCAGGCCACGCAAACACCAAACAGCGCCATTATGAACTATCAGCGGAGCGGCAATACCATTTTCTTTTTGGCAAGCATCACAACTTGGATGCACATTAATTGTGTTGTGCTAACTAAACAACAACTGAAATTGCAATCCAGAAGAAAGAAAAGGACGGCCAAAATTGGTTGGTGACAGATTGACACTCGCTCTTGGGCTTCAGAAGAAGCATCATATTGAGGTGTGCCCAGTGATCCAGATTTAACATGCTATATCACATCACAGAAATCTGTAATTAATTTTTACTAAATTGCAACTAAAAATTGACAAAATTGTAACTTGTAGAATATCATTGAACTTGATGTCTAGATTATGTTCGGGATCAGGATGAAACAACAAAACAAAAAGGGAGCACACAAATCCGTATTATTTCCATGCCAAATTCCGAAATTGGCTTCAAAAAATCAAGGAAAAGGAATAAATTGGTAGGTCACCATCGATGTCGTAGGAGATTCAGGATCAGCGATGTTGATAGACGCTGGGATAGCCTCGTCGCCTCCTATTTACCCTCATCATGGTTGGGGAGGATGGCCGACGTTGGTTGGTATGGCCTAGATGCCGCCTAGGTCAGTTCGTCCTGGGAGCAGCGGTGCGAGCAGCGGTGGCGGCGACAGGGAAGCGGCATGGCGAGGAGGAGGACGGGATGAGCAACGGCTGGGAAGCGCAGGGCCGGCCCTGGCCCTATGAAGCCGAGGCGATCGCCGGGGGCCCATGATGGTGGAGGGGCCAACACCTAATACTAGTAGTCTAGTAGTCTAGTACCTCATCCGATGTTGAGATCAATGATCTTTATTCAGAATTAAAGGTGTGATTCTTCGATGTTCGCGCATGAGATTCTGAAGTTCGTTATGGATGCAGATTGCTATCCAAATGCTTTAGTTGCCTATTGAAATCTCTTAACTGTACCTATGACGGTAGCTTCAGCTGAAAGAAGTTTCTCAAACTTTAAGTTTTGAAGAACTATTTGAGATCAACTATGTTACAAGAAAGGTTAAATGGCTTGGCTATGTGCTCAATTGAGAAGGATATCTTGAACACTATTGATACCGTTATTGATGATTTTGCATCAAGAAATGCCCGAAGAAATATCTTTTCATGGGAGCAACGGATATGATGGGGTTTTGTTCTTCATTAAGTTAATGAATAATGATATTAGTTCCAAGTTACAAATATATTGTTATTTTTATTTCTTCATAATTACCAGACATGTTAAATTTAATATATGGATGTATTTGTTATCGTTTTGCAAGTAAAATTATTATCTATATATCATAAAATTTTATATATAGTTTAGGGGCCCATCGCGATGAGTTCGCTTAGGGCCCTCAAAATCATAGGACCGGCCCTGGGGAAGCGGGGGGTGCTGGGATGGAGGCGTAAATGGGGAGGCAGCGCGGTGGATGCGAGCGCAGCAGCGACTGAGGGATGGTGGGCGGCGATGGGATCTCGCTGGACTCCGGTGGAGATGTGGTGGGAGGATCGTGGGACGAGTCATGCACGTGGATGGTGAACCGTGTGATCTGCAGGTGGATCCTGGAAGAGATGTGAGCCGTCGCAGCCCTCCTCATAACCCGAACAGAAGCTAGACATCAAGACAATGACGGCGACGAGGACCTCGACCTCGCCCATCCAGATATGCGCCTTGGCAGGAGCTCGCCACCTCGACCGCCCACCACCGTGGACCTCGCCTCCTCGACCGCTGCCTCCCTCGATCTGCTCCATCCACAGCTTCCCGCGACAAGCAACCGCGGCGTCGCCTGAGAACGATTCACGGCGGTGACAACGCAGTGGCGCGGTGGCGGCGTGACAGTAGCCAAGGACGACTCACCTCCCCACACTGCCGTCGCTCCCGCCCCTCAGATCCGACATCGACGTGGTGGGGGAGGACGGCGATGGCGGCGTGGTGGGGGAGCGACGCGGTGGGGGAGCGACGGCGATGGCGGCGCTGGGGTCGGCGGCGTGGTGGGCGAGGACGGCGATGGGGGACGCGGTGGAGGAGGCCGGCGATGGCAGCGCTGGGGTCGACGGCGTGGTGGGGGAGCGACGCGGTGGGGGAGCGACAGCGATGGCGGCGCTGTGTCGGCGATGCGGTGGGGGAGCGACAGCGATGGCGGCGCTGTGTCGGCGACGCGGTGGGGGAGCGACAGCGATGGCGGCGCTGTGTCGGCGACACGGTGGGGGATGCGATGGATGCGGCCGCGGCGGTGGATGTGATGGATGCGGGCGCTATCCCCCGATGTGTGAGGATGAGCCGAGCAGTTGGGTGCGGATCGTTGCGCCGTTGGATTTAGCGAACTGGCTCATACTCCACGTGTCTGTCAGGGTTGGAGTCACCGCCACCACTACGGAATTTTAAAGTAGTAGAGATATATCCTATATTTAGTTCCCTTAAGTTACATATATCTGCTTTATATGTTGGCACCTTCTAAAATTCCGCGTTTGCCACTGTATGCTTCCAAATTTGGAGGTGAACCGTAATTCTAGATATAACGTGTCTATGAACTTGCAAAACCATAGTACAGGAAGTCCTTGGATGGTACGGTATTGAGGGTGTTTTTTGATGGCATGGCGTTGACGTGTCACTTATAGGTAGGAAAAAGAAATAAAATATAGTGTGAACAACATGTCAGACATAAAAAACTACCCCCCCTCTCTCTCTCCCGCTTGTCTCCAGCAGGCCGACGCCTTGACAGCGAGCTCCCTATCCCTCGTCCACCTCCTTCCGTTGTCCCACTAGCAGCCTACGGTGGCAATGAACGGACACAGAGCTCGCACATGCAGAGTAGTGTCCCCGCCTTCACCGCCAAATGACACCATCGAGTGCAGCGCAGCCAATGATTGATGAATAGGAGCCAGGGAGCCATCATGAACACCATTGTTCTCATCACCTACATCCATAATATCCGTCGGAGCAGGGGGCTAGCCCCGTTCCTCATCATGCTCATCGTCGGGCCATGCAGTATGCGTGGTCGCGATGGTGTTCCTTTGCGAGGGGGCGGCGGGCTGCACCGGGTACGGGTGGGAGGAGGAAGGCCATGAAGTCGCTAAGGGCATGGACATGTTATCCTCCCCGGCCCACCCCCTCCTCTCCCACCCCAAAGCCACCTCGAAATCCGCCACCGCCGCGGAACCGTTCCCTTCTTCCTAAACCTGTTGCGTGTCGGCAACCGCACGCTAGGACAAAGACGGCAAAGGTGTCATCTGCTTCATTGTGGCGGTGGAAGCGAAGGAAGAAAATTCGATTCGGGTTGAAGGAAAAAAAAAAGCGGAGTGAGCCGGCATGGGTTTGGGGACATCATGGCCGAGCTAGCTCCTCTCCCGCCAGCCGCTGTCCTTCTCCCCGCCAACCACTGCCCCGCCTTGGAGTTTGGATAAATGAGAAGAGAGGGGAGGAAGAGAGAGAGAGAGAGATAAGGCCATAAGGGGGTCCTGACTCCAGACTCCAGTCAACTAACCACATCGGATGAAACCAGCCACTAAACTGTTATTGGATATCATGTACACCGGTTTTATAAGATATAAGGGTATATGTTATATCTGGTATTGTAGTTTTAGGACGAAATTCAAGTAAGAGAGCTAAAGTGGACTTATTCCTTAGCAACCATCACTAACCACGAAAACTACGGCCCAAAATTGACAGCCCAAGCCCAGAGGTGGAGCGTCAAAGGCCGGCCGGCCGCGCGGTTGCGACGGTGTGTGATGCTACGTCACGCTGCCGGCGCCGCCGTAGCGGCGTAGCGAACTAGTAAGTACTAACCCGCCCGAGCGGTGAGCGACACGGGCCCGGTTCGTCGTGGCGTCGAGACGCGCACTCCCGTGCGACACGCGCGCGGGGGACGTCGTCGAGATCGACACGCACGCCGCTGTGCCGGCAGTGACGTGCGTACCACCGCGCTGCAGTGCAGGCAACTAAACGTAACCCCTAGCAAAGCACGTAGTCGATCGTACTCGTACCGATAGGCGATAGCTGCACCCACCGACGCAGCCACGACCGGGGGCCGCTGATCCGCGACCAGTCGCGCGATCAGCTGCCCCCCTTTAATCTGTTCTCTTATCCTATATATACTACTATACTATAAGTATATGTATATACATACGTGTGTGTGTATATATATATATATATATATATATATATATATATATATATATATATATATATATATATATAAAATTTTATATGTATGCACTTTTAATTTATAAAAAGATATGCACATGTATATAAAGTTTGTGTGTATATGTATAAAAAACCTAAAAAATACGTGTATACAAACTTTGTATACGTGTATAAAAACCCAAAAACTACACATATATAAACTTTATATACACGTATATAAAAGTTTGTATACGTGTATACAAAGTTTACATATATATATATAAAGTTTGTATCTGTACGTATACAAAATTTGCATGCATACGTATTATATAACGGACAAACAGAAAAATATACGGAAGAAAAAAAGAAAAAAAGAAAACCGGGGAAAAGATACGAAAGAAAAAAACAGAAAAAAAAAAAGAAAACCGTACGTCCGCACGCGCCGTCCGCCGCCTCCTCTCCACGCGCGACATGTGTCCAGTCACACGTGGGAGGACGAGCGCGACTAGTCGCTTATTAGCCATCTTGGCAACGACCCGCAGCTGCAATATGGCCAAAGACAAACGTACCACGCTGCACGCACGAACGTGGTACACAACTACACATATCGTCGTTGGAGCCACACAAAACCTGAACGGATTTGCTATCAAACATTGGATATAATATTTGAGAAAAAAATATGTTAAATTTTAAGCTATCGGACAAGCTTTAAGATGTATTAGCGATGGATTGAAAATCAAAGCACGACAACCTCCGACATGTGTTCCCCATTAAGTTATTATAACTTTGACTTATATACCACTTACACTCTAGTTATCATATAATTATATCATAATTACATTTATTATTACATTCATAATTACATTATAATTATATTATAGTTATATTTGCTTTTTTTTTAGATTTTCTCTCTTTTTTTTAATGGCATTCTAAAAGTTGAAGCCTGAAGGACGTGCACTTGATTTGCCTGAGACGAGAATTCGAGAAATGGTGCATGTATTCAGTCACAGGCCCACAGCAGTCAGCACCGTCCCGATCGATTCGCGCTGCACTCATGGCAGGGCGATCGATTGGTCAGCATAATGCCAAGAGACGTGTATAGTACTCCTACACAATTATCACCAGTACGCCTTGGAGCAGTGAAAAAGTTGTCCAGAGCTGACGGCTGAACATGTACTGATACTATGTACACATGCATGCGCGCACGAGCCGATAGACAGTTGTAGAGGCCGTAGCTAGGCGCGCGCCAGCATATATATATATAATATACGTATGTATATATATATATACATACGTATGTATATATATATACATATACGTATACGTATATACGTATACGTGTATATATATATATATATATATATACGTATATACGTGTATATATATATATACGTATATACGTGTATATATATATTGTATATATACGTATATATATATTGTATATATGTATACGTATACATATATGTATATATGTATATACGTATACATATATGTATATATATATATACGTATACATATATGTATATACG